CTTTAGGTATAGTATTTGTTTTGCTTAAATCATTAGGTTCAAAAAATCATATAAATTTAATTTATTGAACTAGAAGGCCTGTAGTTTATTGTTTGTTAACATGTTATGGTATGTGCGTGAAAGTTATTGTCGTCTTCAACGTTACAGCCCGATACTAGCCATATCGTAGTACAAAATTATACTTCTATACGATATTGAGCCACACTACAACGTATTGTATCTGCGGTACGAATCAGTTGGCTCAGTAGAATCGCGTTCACGTTCACGATCTCACAAAATACCAGTGTTTAATGGCTGTTGTGTTTTGTGTGGTGAATGATGAGAACCGGCGACCCTTTTATTGATAACGACGCATTTCATCTTAGTTTTCCTGAAAACACGTCTGCGTGACAACAATCTTGAATGTTAATCGAAAACAAATCGCTGTTTCAAATAGGTAATAGTTAATAGAAAATCTAATAAGATTATCAAATATAAGTCAGATAGATGCAAGTCGTCATCATTTACTGCTGCCCGTTAAAGGAAGCTTATATTTTATATTATACGTTGACGTGGTTCTTCACTGCTATGCTCGGAGTTTTCTGCGTGATAGATTATGCAATGAGAATATCTGCGGCAGAACCAGAGTAATCGATATAGACCAAGGGATCAGTAACCTGAAGCGGAATGGTGGGCTGTCCAAGTAGCTCAAATAATTGACAATCGATAAAAAGGAATGGTTCGGAAATGGCAGTATAGTACCGGCAAGCAAAGTATAGAGCAGCCCTTTACAATATGGACTTTTGATCTGGTTAGAAATGCAGGTGGCTCAGGACTGCTTTGTAGCATTTCGTGGGAACGCCTATGTTCAGAAGTAGTATATTATGTAATTTAGTCAACCAAACTGTGCTCATTATGAATGATACACAATGTGCTTAATAAACATATTCAATACAAACTAATTAATTAGTATTCTACGAGACAAAGGATATTTAATTTATAGCCACAAACCCGATCGCGCCCAAACCCCTTTGTACACATACAGACTTAGATATACTCGTATATAATTCTAACGCACATCCTTTACATATTTAAGTAATTCTAACGTCTGCTAGACTGAAGTCGGTCACGATGGCAAGTCGCAATGAAGACTAGCCAAACTTTCGGTAGAGAGAAATAGTGTTTGTGGCATGTACGTAATACCAAGTAATTTAATTAAGTAGTCACATTTGCGCAGGACAGAACTATAATGCACAACTGTGTGAGTAAGAACAGCTGGTGCAGTTACTCTTTCCTTACTCTCCTAATCGGATGGTACAGAAACTCGACTTGTTCGGAGAAAGATCAGGCGCAAGGCCAACGACTTTATGTGGTTCCGAGTCAATAGGGTGGGCCAATACCCGATCTGGGATTTGCACCCGGGCTTCCATTATCAGCAGACGCACTACCGACCACGAGACCATCGAGGCAATCCACTTTAATGTAACTTTCGAATATTAAAAGAACTTGTCCTGAGTGACTAACTCGACTATCAACGTACAACCCAAAACGCTAGACAAATAAATCTGAAATTTTGACACCGGCTGTTATTATAATGAAAAGACTTCTAAAAAAGGATTTTAGAAAATTACTGCTTGTGCAACACTTTTTTTGACGGGGCAATTTCAGATTGGTAAGGAAAAAATATTAAATTATTTTTGTAGCTTGAAATTGGTACAAATACTTTCGGGTTAAAATAATCATATGGATATATATTTTTTAATTATTACGATTATTTTTCTCTTTAAGTTTTAAATCGAGTGTACAAAGTTTGCGAGGAAAATGGTGTAAAGTAAAAGGAAGTTAAAACGAATTTATGACAATTTTTATGAAAGTACATATTATAGGACTACAAGAGTAAGCTCCTTATTACCCTTTAAAGGGTGAAAAATAGTTACATATAACAGTTAAAGTTGTTCATTTTACAATTGCGATCAAAGAGTATACTGTAATCGCAACGTCTTAGTTTTGGTTAGTATTATTGCAATTTGCAACTGACGGTGTCGGATTAAAAGACAATAACATGGTTTTGTTTCTTTGTTCTTTGCTATAAAAACCTTTTCGGAAATAGGAGAATGGCCCATGCCCAGGTGTGGGACGTATATAGGATGTAACTTTACTTTTTTGCGGTTTTGTGCCCACCGTAGGTTTTATAATATTTGAAACATAGCTTTCCAAATTTTTTTGTTTTGGCGTTTTATTGATATTTCTAGCTTAAATATTTTGAGCAATGAATTTTTGTAACTTTTTAATCCAATATAATAATATATTCAGGATGCTGTTAGGACTGCGTCGTTGTTGTAGTGCATCAGGGATGTTTGCGGCATACCAAACAGATGGGTTTAATGCCATAATACACAAAAAACAGCATCCCTTACAGGGTACGAGTCAGCCACAACAGCATTCTGAGGACCATAGCGTACAGATATACATCGCCGCTGTGAAAATGTCTTGTGCAGAGACTGATCACTGGGCCATATCCACCACCACCACATGATGGTCTCTCTCGGCACAGGGTATGACTTTCTTTTTTAATAACCCTTGATATGATTATATTTTGTGTACTACTAATCTACATATGGATCTTAAATTATCTGAAATAAACAATTTATTTATTATTATTTATATTATATTTAAAACAAAGCGCTTGTAGTTGTATAATATGAATACTTTTTTTTAAATGTATTGATTATTTTCTACACATAATATACGCTGTCTCAATGGTGATTTGCCATCCCGTCGGTAAAAAATGTTTTGTAGCGTGTTCATAAGTAGCAAGTAAGTACATGATACTTCAATAGCGCAGGGCCGAATTGTAGTTCAATAGTGTATGTGTAAGCACAGATGCACTCTCTATTCCCTCATTACCACCGTCCAATGGGATTATGAGAATGAAGCAATCCGATATGATGAGGGAGACATCTGATACTGGACTAACAGTTTTACGTGCTTTTCTAGGCACGGGGATGAAGTGCCGCCAATATCTTGACTCCCGGCTACTACTTAGAACTTTTATACAGCGAATAACTAATATAACGCCATATAATGATATATATATATATATATATATATATATATATATATATATATATATATATATATATATATATATTTTTTGTATATCCAATAACTGATTTTGGCTCGTACATACTTACCTAAGGACTTTCTTATGTCGAGTATAGTTTTATTTTTGATATATTACGTGGTAGAGCCAAGCTGCAGCTATATATAAATGATTGTGCCCGAATGGGTCAGTTCGATCGGGAGAGGACCATGCTACCACACAACATCAGCGTCAAATAGCAAGTTAATGCTGCTGTTTAGTATGGTGAGTGTAGAAAACCGGAGATCCCTTTTGCTTTAAACGAGTCATTCCATCTTAGTACTCAGGGGTTTATAATCGACTTTGATCGTGTAATTTCTGAACCTCATTCGGTCATATTTATCTAATACTGTCATAGTTTGGTCAAAGCCATAATTCATAGCTGCGCTAGGATCCCTTGGGTGGCACTGCAGTCAAGTATGAATTTTTTTTTGTATTTATGGTCTAAAATGCTCTATTCTTAATTTATGTTGATATTTTCCAAAAAAATTAGTGTAGAGAATCGGAGACTCTTTTAACTGGATTCAAAGCATTCCATGCTAGTCCTCCCAGGGGACGACGCATCTGCATTTTGATTCTAATCGATGATAAATGTAGATATCTATGGGCAGCACTCACCTACCAATGTGTGCTCGTTTATCACCCTTATTCTATTTAAAAAAATGTAAAATTTTGACGGGATAGAAGGCGCTGTGTTCGATTTAGTAATATATTTTATACTTATATTTTAAAAAGTCTGAAACAGAGTGCTTCGCGCCATCTACCGGAAAGGGCAAAACAAAGTCTGCCAGGCCAGCTTGTATATTTATGGGTCGCATTACATAGTGTAACATATATCACAATACAGACGTGGGAATGGATAAAATACAAAATTCTGTTGCATTTGGTTCAGGTAGAGTTTCCTCCAATTTAATGGTGGTTGAGCATGACAAATGCCGCGTTGTTTCTCGAATATTTTTTCGCTGATGTTATTAAAATTTACTGAGCAATCCATGAAATTATTTTAATATAACTAGCGATAATATTTCATTTTATGAGGTATTTTCGACGAATTATGATATCCAATAAATTTGTGCTGGATAATTAATAACAAAAATTATTGACGGCCCGAATAATGAAAACTTAGAATTCCGCAAAGGTATGAAATAATGTTAATATAATAAGTGATTGAAATGAAATTAAGAGAACATTGAGAAATACGAATTTTTTATCTTCCTAGAGTATATATTTAATAACGTTTTACGTTTATTGTGAATTCGGAGTAGAATTAATTTTATCTTATTTTTTGCTAGAAACTGATTTAAAATTTTAATAGACCTATATTTAATTTTTTTCAAAAAGAAAATGAGAGAAAATTCATTAAATAAAATTCTTGAATTTTATTTTGTGGATTTTTAAGTAATATTTTAATAACGAGTGATTATAGATTATAATATAAAATTATTTATTAAAAACACTAAAACCCGAAAGAAGGAAATTTAAGGAAAACCTCTTTATGTATTATAAAATTTTTAAGTAACACAGTATTACGATAAAATTCATTCCATCTAATTATAAACTAAAATATAAAATTGCAAATTATGTATGAAGTGAAAATAATAATGATAATAATAATAATATAATAATTATTTATATATATATATATATATATATATATATATATATATATATATATATATATATATATATATATATATATATATATATATATATATTCTCCGCCACACTCGCCGGACGTTAGGCTGTTCCCTCATCAAATAAAAATGCTACGACTAAGGATGCGGTGCCACAAGTTGCAGAACAACCCGCACGCGTGGATGCTGCCGTGAATACCCTAAATGATGATGGAACATTCACCCAGGAACTAGAAATAGAGCAAATGAGGAGTACACTGGAAGAGGCGATTGTGGAAACGCGCAGTACGTCTCTCGAAAATCGACCGCGACTTCCCCGCATAGCCCTAAGCAAGCGGCATCGGGCTGTTGTGAGGGCTCTGAACCCAATGCTGGTGACCTATTTGGAAGCCAGCTGGGACCTTTGCGAGACGGACTCAATTCTTTTTGGCGCCGCGCTGGCAGTCTGCCGTACTATAGGCACCAAGGTTTCCACGGTTGGACACGCTACTGGCCAACTTAGCGCTATCCCAGCATGGAGAAGAAGAATTGAGGAACGTATCGCAAAGTATAGAGCTCTCATCGACAGACTGATATGCTTCAGATCAGGCAATAACAGGCCAAGAATTGTGCGCACCGTCAGGATGGCTTTTGCTGGGACAAATGTCAGTTTGTCCCAGCCGGAAATAACGCAAAACTGACGGAGCGCATAGATGGTCTGAAGCAGAGAATCGCTGCTTGGGGAAAGCGGATTCGATGATATATCGACACGGTTCATCCAGAATCGTCTCTTCCAGAGTGATCAGAAGAGGGTCTATGAATCATTGGAGCGACCAATAGTAAGTGGAACGGGCCCAGCACCGAATCAGGACGACACTGTAGCGTTCTGGCGCGACCTGTGGTCAGAGCACGTAAACCACAGCGAGGGCCCTTGGACGGAAGTTGTGGCGAGTCAGTGTGCGAGTATAACGCCCATGGACCCCGACATTATAACACCGGATGACGTAGCTGAGGCGGTCCGTAGGGCCCCGAACTGGAAAAGTCCGGGACTCGACGGGCTGCATCACTACTGGCTGAAGGGGTTCGTGGTGTGTCACACTGTGCTCGCCCGACAGTTTCAAGAGGCTCTCAACCAGAAGTCGCTCCCGAGCCTCTTCACTACTGGGGTCACCCGTTTGGTTCCTAAAGACCAGGGTACCACAGACCCGAGCAAGTACCGCCCCATCACGTGTCTACCGACCATATACAAGATATTAACATCCATTTTGAGCGCGAGAATCACTCGTCACCTGGACTCAAATTAGGTGACGTCGTGCGCTCAAAATGGATGTCGGGGCGATGGCCGTGGAATCAAGGAACGACTCCTCATTGATACGGTCATTGGTAAAGTAGTGAAACGCAACCGTCGGAACTTCTCCGCCGCCTGGATAGACTATAGAAAGGCATTCGACTCGGTGCCCCATACATGGCTAAAGAGAGTCCTCGAGCTGTACAAGATAGATTATGAGTTAGAAACTTCCTCGAACAGTGTATGGGGCAGTGGAGTACTTCCTTTGTCATCTGGGTTAGCGGATGATGGCTGCGGAGAACCACATATGGATAAGAAGGGGTATCTTCCAGGGCGATTGTCTGAGTCCAATCTGGTTCTGCCTCTCTCTGAACCCTTTCAGTACCTTACTGGAGGGCTCCGGGAGGGGATTTCAGCTACGGAAAGGAGGGACAAAATTGACCCACCTTTTCTATATGTATGACCTCAAGTTATTCGCCTCCAGTCGCTCCCATCTTATGGAATTGCTAAACATCACTTGTGAATTCAGCAATTCCATTCCAACAAGCAATGGCAAGACCCGGCAGTGCAGAGCATTTCTGACCGAGAGACCGTATGGAAGGAGAAGGAGCTCCACGGGAGGTTCTACAAAGCGCTACATGAGCCTTTCGTAGACACAGTAGCCTCCCTCCACTGGATACGCTTTAGTGACCTCTTCGGGGAAACCGAGGGTTTTGTCTGTGCAATACAAGATCAGGTTATTAAGACCAACAACTATCGGAGATACATCCTAAAGGATGGCACCGTTGACATCTGTCGAGCTTGTCGACACCCCGGTGAGTCACTTAAGCATGTCATCTCCGGTTGTTCGGCGCTTTCTAACTCTGAGTACTTGCACAGACACAACCTAGTAGCCAGAATTCTTCACCAGGAGCTCGCTCTGAAATACGGTCTCGTGGATCGGAAATTGCCGTATTACAAGTACTTGCCGGAAGCCGTGCTCGAAAATGATCGCGCCAGACTCTATTGGGACCGGGCCATCATCACAGACAGGACTATTCTTGCGAATAAGCCTGATATTGTGCTGATGGACCGGGTACAGTTAAGGATATTTTTGGTCGACATTACCATTCCGTTTGACGAGAACCTCGTGAAAGCCGAAACAGATAAGCAAACAAAATATCTGGACCTGGCTCACGAGGTTACCGACATGTGGGGTGGTCTGCCGACCGAAATTATTCCTGTAGTCGTCTCTGTAAACGGGCTAATCCAGTTTGAGGCGGTTGGGACTATGTAACGGACCGCTCCAGGCTCAAATGCAGAAGGCGGTGCTCTTCGATACCGCCCGCATCGTCCGCCGGTTTCTTTCTCTTTCCCCCTAACCCTCGGCCGTTTGGTCTCCCCTGCCGAGGGCCTCCATCTGGTTGGGCTTTTATTTATTAATGTATCTTTATATTTATTTAATTTTATTGATATTTATGTATATTTATCTTTTCATTTCCGTTTATAATTATATATTTATAGAACCCAACCAGATGAGAAAACTATATTGATACCCCCAATAATAAGAAACAAAAAACATTAGTCAATCGTTTTATAATAGTAACTGTATTATATTGGGAGTTTTTCAATACGACGAAAATTTGAAGAAACAAAGAAAACATGTAAAGTTCTAACGCTTTGAAGTAGATTTGAGTGCCTTTCTAAAACGTCAAGAAACTTGTTCGGGGGAAAGATCTTAGAGAAATGTAAGAAAATCCTTAACGCTCGTCCAAGCAGTTGTAAAGAAACCAAATCTCGATCTCCCATTTCTTGAGAAGTGCGGTCGAATAATTCAGGTATATCCACAAGTTTTATTCGGATGAAAATGCTCCCCGCCAGCCAAATGCTAATTTTATGGTGGTTGAGCAACTGTGCCGAATTTATCCGCGCTGTCCTTCGCAGAGTATTGTAGGCGTTGTCTAAATAATATATACATATATGCTATTTATCTAAATAATATATATGCTATTTATCTAAATAATATATATGCTATATAAGTGTAATATTAGATGAATGTTATTGATTCTATTTTATGTTTTAAACAGTTTTCAAATGGTTATTTACTTAGTTACAAAAGTTTAATATACATACTTTGCAATGCTTTTACTCTGTATTGGTATAAGCGTGCGAGACTCACATATGGTAGAGGCTGATTAATGGCGAAGTGGACATGCAATCGTTACTTTTCATTACCGTTTCGAAGTGCGGAACCAAAGGCTAAAGCTGCCTGGTCAGATTAGAAAAGTTCTTTCCCGAAACAAGTCGAAAATCGACTTTAAAAGCATGGTCCAACATTTGGTTTTAGAAGCGCTTCCAGTTTCGAATTGAAACCAAGTTTAAATTGGAATGTATCCCGCAATAAGCCTCTCGTGATTGGCCTGTTTGTTCTTAATTAGTATTAATCGGAATCCCTTTTGGACTACTTATGAGAAAGTTAATGTATTGTAAAATATCACCTGACCTTATTTTGAACTAATGTTTACGTAGGATAGTATGTTTTACTTAAACAGTGCTGTTATTTTAAGGTAATAGTTTCTACATTTTTTATTGCTTGTTTGAGTAGTGTTTGTGTTTCAAGTTTAGATTAAGTACCTTTTATGCTACAAACATGGATCAGTACAACTCGGTCAGTAGTTAACAATAAAGTGAGTAGTTAACAATATTTAATGCCAACTTTATATTAAGAAAATTTTGTTTCAATATGAAAGAATTAATGGTTTTAATAAGCCAAGTTTGCGATAGTTTATCTTACTAATTTAGAACCACTTTGAAATTTTATAGATGCTTAAATATCTTAAACGTTTAATATATTATGTGGGTAACCACATGTATATTTATGGTATTATTTACTTGTGTGTGTTAAATGCAAGATTACACATGTATATGTTTGGTATTACTTACTTGCAAGATTAAATTTCACTTCATTTAATAAAACGAAAAATTTATATAATATGAAACAGTTACGGTTCCAGCGGAGGTAAAAATTATAAGATAAGTTATAACGGTTGAAAATTGTCTATACTCGTGATAGTATCGTGTTGTGACGGTGTACGAATATCCACTATCCCATATTTTACCGCGGGTGTTGTACGAGGCTCTCTATGATGACCTGTTTTTTGCAGAAGCGAACCTACAGCAAGTGGACCTAGTCGAGCCCCGACGGTTCGACAAAAAATGAGATTGACTTTATTATGATGACTAGACTGCATCTGTACAGTAATGTCTCAATGATCGCCAGGGTGAAAACTGGCAGCGATCAACCAAATGATGAGAGGTGCACTGAATCCAAACTTTAAGTTGGATAGATCACGTCTAATAAAGTCAATGTTCCGTCTCCCTCGTGGTCTAATCCCAAACCCCGAAACCTTTCATCTCCTGTTAAAAATCGTTTTCAGTGCCTAGAAGATTGCAATACAGTGACTGATATGAATGAAAAACTGATGGAAACTGTCGGTCTATGCTAAGTTATGCAAGAGCCATCGCAAAAAAACCGGAAAAAAATCCGATAATTCTCTTAATCTCATGACTGACGGGTAATGAAGTTAAAATGCAGTCTTTAAGACATATGATAACATACACAAAACTCAACAGACAGATATCTAAATGCACGGGGCGCGACTTATGTAACATCAATACAGCTCGTATTGACGAAGCGATTGAGCGGAAGCGAGACTCCAAAGTCTTTACCAGTGATCTGTCTATCAGAAAAAGCCAAATGTCGTAGCTGAAGATCGAATTTGGTAACATTGTTTCTAGGAGAGCTGAGTTTTTGCGTGAGATTTCCGTTCTACGGAAAGCTGTACACGTCACCATTGGAGCCTAATGAAAGTGTGAGTAATGATCACCTCAAGGCCCCAGGCGAGGATGGAATTACAGCGGAGCATATGAAAGCGGGTTGAAAACCGGTACTTGAAATTTACTGTACTAATAGTCCTGAACAACGTAGTTGCGAATTTTTGAATACAAAAGCAGAACTAAAAATTAGAAAGAATGTCAAATTTACTGATATAGACTTTAATAAATTTATTGTACATGGTAGAGCCACGCTACAGCTCTATTGATCGTGGCACGAATGGGTCGGCTCGCCGGGAAATGACTACGCTCTCACAGAATACCAGCGTAAAATAGCAGCTTAATACTGCTATATTTCGTCTTCGATTTCGACTGTGGAAATCCGGAGACCCTTTTCTACTGGAAACGAAGCATTCCATCTTAGCCCTCAAGGGTGACAATGCATCTGAGTTTTGATTCTTAATCGTGGATTAATGTAGATGCCTATGGGCTACAGCATCCACTATTATATTACTTATATATTCTATAAGATGATATTTAGTCGTTACCACCACTAACTAAATACTACACTAAAGACCACTGATGAACATAGTCTTTCTTCATAGACTGCCTCATGGGGGCGATATTTGCCACAGTTGCCACACTTGGCAAGTGGGTTGCAAGCCGCAGTTTTTATTTTCAGTAGAGTAAGACGAAATAAATTGCATAGTATTTCGTCAAAGGCTTAAGACAAAATACTTTACAACCTGTAATTTATACTGAGGCTCCCAAAACGAAAAATGGATGTAGTTGTACTGCTGTTTGTTAGAGACAAACAGAAAGGTTTCTTGGCAGAAAATGTTACCTGCTACCTTGATATCCCTTAAATATATATATATATATATATATATATATATATATATATATATATATATATATTTAAGGGATCTTTAAAGGATATTTAAAGGAAAGGATGCTTTATACATTATCGGCTAATTACAAATTTAATCAAAATAATGCATGTTACTGTCCGGAAATTATGGAAAATAACCTTAAAAGCAAGGACGTGATAAATCTGCATATTCATATTAAAAGGGAGACTACCCACCCTATCCATTAGTGAATTCAGCTATGCGACCGCAAACGAATCCACCTTAGCAGTTTCTTGTACGTATTAAAAGGTACACATTTTAGAGCACCGTTAATATTAAGTGGAGAAAACACGATATTAAATACCGGGAGTATTTTGAGGATGCAAATCTCTGTCGGTTTGACACGATAAACAACTAAATGTTCAGTGTGCGCTTTCAAACATATTGCTTAACGGCTCTTTGAGTAATTTGAAGAGAATAACTCTTATCGTTTTACTTTTTAATCTAAAAATTGAACTAAGTTTTATGCAACAAAATGAAATATTATAAATTAAAATATTTTTTCTTACAGATTAAATTTTATTTTTAATTGCCGATGCCTCGTATTTGCAGCACCCATGAAATGCACGGAAATTAAAAATAAGTAATAAGCTACATGCAATAATTTTAATTTTAATTTGATTGTAACATATATAACCTAGTGGTTGGTTTGATTAAGCTCAGTATTAATTTTATTAATAAATATCTAAGTTACTCTGACTACAACACCGTCTTGATTGGCTAAACCACACCCAACATTTGTCAACTTATTACCTAAAAATTGTTGATTTCAGATCTCTGATTCTTTTTCTTTACTTTCCAGTCTACTTCTAATGGTTAGTAAGACGATTTAACATGTTTGTGTTCGTGCATACACTTCCTTTATAAAATACTCTAGCGCATTTAAATGCTTCGAGAGTATTCAGAAGGTCGATGGTCGATGTTAGCCAACCTCCACATATCTGCTGTACCTTTGATTTTTTGATATATGACAACATAATTAGAGGGGATAAACATCTGTGGCCGTAGAAGGAAAAAGGGAAATCTCCCGCCGGGCAAGGTGATATGCCCGGGGAGCGGCCAACACTCTGTGTGATAGTTCGGAGATGTTCTATATATGCTGTTTATGATTCGGAATGTTGATAGCGTGATTTAGGCTTCGGTGTGTTTTTCGCTTGCGGCGCGATGACAGCGCCGCCACATCACCCCCCTGCTCAGACCGGAGGTCGATAGTGCAGTCCGATTGTCGGTGTGTCCTTTTAATGCCGGTGGAGAATGCATGCTGTGTGCGTAAGGGCAAGTGACACCGGTGCGAATGATATGCCGATGTGTAATGCATGCCTTACTACGCACTTGCAAGTGATGCCGGTGAGAACGATGTGCCGGAGCAAGTGCCAGAAGTCTGTCTTATAAATCTGCAGTGAGTCGAGATGAAGACAAGTTGGACTGGCTTGCAGGAACTGAAGACTGCAGAAGACGATTCTCAGTAGTGAATGGTAGGGGTTCTTGAGAATAATGACGAAGGCTTGAAAGTTGTAGTTTCCGAAGATTGTTGGTTGCATGTTCAGATCACGTCGGGGTCACCACTGTGGCGGTAGAAGGAAAAGGGGAGATCTCCCGCCGGGCAAGGTGTTATGCCCGGGGAGCGGCCAACACTCCGTGTGATAGTTCGGAGATGTTCTATATATGCTGTTTATGATTCGGAATGTTGATAGCGTGATTTAGGCTTCGGTGTGGTTTTCGCTTCGGCGCGATGACAGCGCCGCCACACATCTAACCTAAAAAAAACTGTATTATTTTGTTCTTCTGTTCTGTTATTATGTAATAGCTTTTATATTATTAGAACTCATCTGAACTAAATAACTTATTAAAAGAATACATTTTACAATTACATAAAATAACATTATGTTTTTCCTTTTTACAGAAAGCCTTCGAGACTACTTTAGCAAATTCGGTGAAATCACAGAAGTTATGGTTATGAAAGATCCTACAACGAGGCGGTCGAGGTGAGTCTAATTTTATCTGATTTGTTTCGATCTTACATTTTTGCAATATGAGCACTTTAAAATTGATTAAGCTATATGATTTTATTAAAGTTATTAAATACTACATTAAACGTAAAGAAATACTCTTGTTTTGTTTGCTGTTAGTTAGCTAGCTATTAGTTCGTTGTGTAATGTTTTTGTAACCGTAACGAATTCTGAGAAAACAAATTGCCTTCTTCAGTTTTAATACTACCTCATCATCATTACATCCCTTCACAAGTCCACTGCTTAACATAGTAATGCCACAAAGCACGGTCCTGAGCCACCTGCATCCATCGACTTCCTGCATGTCTTACCAGGTCGTCACTCCATCTAGTGGGGGGGTCGCCCTACACTACGCCTACCGGTACGAGGCTGCCACTCGAGAACCTTTCTTCCCCATCGGATATCGGTTCTTAAAACTATATGGCCGGCCCATTGCCACTGTAGTTTACTAATCGGTTGGGCTATCGGTGGTTTTACTGCGGATATCATCATTTCTGAGTTTATCACGCAGAATTAATACTACAACGTTATATAACATATTCCATGATGTGAAAAAAGTCCAGAAACATTTAGACAAATCCTAAGTAACCTGCGTGACGTTCGTATGCCTCATCAGATCGTCAGTTGAAAAGAGGATATTACTAGCGGTGCACTAGTTGGCACTATGTGATTGAGACCCTTTTTCCATATTATATAATTCCAATTTTTACTTGTTATGCCAGTGCTTGACTAAAATATGAATATAAATATGAGTGGTAAGTGATGGTAAATAGCACTATCATAGCGTAACCAGAGCCTATTCACTCACGATATATCACTACGAATGACGAATCATTATGATTCGTCATTGGAGGATGCGTTGTCACCCGTAAGGACCAAGGTGGAATGCCTCATTTCCAATAAAAGGGGCCCCCAGTTCTCTACACTCACTGTGCGAAAAACAGCAACGTTAAGCTACTATTTTACGCTGCTATTATGTGAGAGTGTGATCCTTCCCCGGCCGAGCCGACCCATTCTTGCTACAACTATACTACAAATATTATAGTTGCAGCATGGCTCTACCACGTAAACATGCCACTGTTGCCCAGAGTAACTGAGCACAGCCATTTCCGCAACTCCCTACGTAACTTAATCAAACGGTTTATACTGAAATGTAAATACATCGTTGTCAGCCTTTTGAGCCCACTGCTTGAAGCGCTTTCTTAAAATACGCCAGCGGAAACATTTTTAAAAGAGTTGTTCTCATAATCATCATACTAAACAGGCAGGTTTGTAAATGCACTAATTGTTTTGCTCTTCATCACCATTCTGTGGAATTTGGTAATATTATTAGATGGATATTTCGTTATCAACCGGCAATCAGAGCCTCGTTGTACGTTAGCTGCACTTTCCACGTTCAGATGAGGTTTACAGTTTGAAGAAAAAAATCACATGTTTTCCTTACACACCAAGACTAATATTAGTTTTTTTAACAAAGCATTGTATATTGGAAGCAGTGTGAACTCACAGTAAAAAGAAAGCTGTGTAAAGTCACAAACGAATCATTCGTGTGTTTAACAACGTGTTACCACAGTAATAAAATATAGAAAGGAATGCTTTTGTTGCATAGTTCCTCAATACCGGTCAAGCCTCGCCGGCGGCTCGGGCGTGAACTGACCAACTCAACTTGCGCTAAAAGTTATCGGTTTGCAAATAAGTTTCATTCTATAGAGCAGCATACTCGTACCAAAATTTGTGGTTACCTTTGAATTGTAAGCATTTAAATGTTGGACTTCAAATTTTAGAACTTAACAATGGAACTCAAAATTATTCCATCTGAATTAAGCGTTTGGAAGGGTTGAATTAGGTAAGGATTTCAGCGTCCATTGTATATCGTGCTAAACTAAATTCCTTTTATTAGTCTGTTATTTGACACGATTTGCAGAATCAGATGGCTTAGCTGTAAGCCTACCCAAGTTCTAAGTTATAGCTTGATTATTTAACGTTATTATTATACACATTTATTTGCGTATATGTTAACCCACATAACCCAACAGATCAGTTAGCTTAAGTGGCAAAGGGCTGGCAATATAGGTCGAAGAACCCAACTGATAAGGAAGAAAGATTCTCAAGTGGTAACTAAGTTTAGCTACTACAAGATAGATTATTGGAATTCTTTGGTTCTCGCATCGGTCGGCATCGTTTGGTTAGTGGTTTCTTTTGGTTGAGGTCTTTGCACAGCAGTGGACTTGAAACTAAACATTATGCGTTTTTGAAGTAATATTGGGTCCTTACATATTATGAAATTAGCGCTTTGTCTTACTGACCAATTTGATCTGAAATATCTCTTCTTTAGTTAAGAATTCCAAATTGAAATTTATAAATTCATTTAGCTGGGACATTTGAGTTTCGGAACAGTCATTCATTTGTTTTTTCCCTCATTATTTTGTCTTTGGCGTCGCTTATTACCGAACAATGGAAAACATGAAATATCGGTATATTTACGAGTAGGAGTTCTAACGTGGCACCAGTGCTGCAGAAACAGCTCGAAGGATTAGTGATGTGTCGCAAAATAAAGCACGGTACGTTTTTGGTGTCAACGTTTTCGTTTTGCAAATTTCGACCTTCAGAACTAACCCCGTGGACGGTGGGAGATCAAAGTGGAAATTGAAGAATTAAAGACTATTGTGGAAGCGGATCCATCACGAAGCAAATCGGAAAATTAAAAAAACTTAACGATGGGTACCTCATGAATTGAGTGAATCGAACTTGCAAACACGCGTCGACTGCTGTGTTACTTTGCTCAACCGACACAAAAATGAAGGGATGTTAAATCGACTCATTACTTGTGATGAAAAGTGGTTACTGTACGATATTCGCAATGGCGAAGCTCTGGAGACCTAGCCAAATTCTGCCCTAAACGAAAATTGACTCAGAAAAAGTTACTTGTGAGTATTTGGTGGACTAGCGCTGATGTCGTTCACTAAAGCTTTCTAAAATCTGGCCAAACGATTACGGCAGATATCTATTGTCAGCAACTGCAAACCATGAAGGAAGAACTAGCTGCTAAACAACCGAGATTGGTCAATCGCTCTAGGCTACTGCTGCTTCACGACAACGCAAGACCACACACTGCACAACAAACAACCACTAAGTTAGATGAGCTGCAATAGGAATGTCTGAGACATCCACCGTACTCCCCGGACCTTGCTTCAACAGATTACCATTTTTCCGGAATTTGGACAACTTCTTACAAGGAAAAAAATTCAACTCCGATGCGGCAGTCCAAACCGCCTTCAAAGAGTTTATTGATTCTCGCCCCCATGGTTTTTTTAGTAAAGAGATAAATGAAATACTTATGAGATGGCAAAAATGCAAAGATAACAACGGTGCATAATTTGGTCTGTTAAATATATTTTACAAAAAAATTGACTTTATATTCCTCCCGTATAAAACGCCGATTTCATGTGTAAGAACCTATTACTTTCTCATTTTAAGTCTAGGACTCGAAGCTGATAATTCATTCTTTGTTGCTTGCACAGTCACTGTTATTATAAGACCAAGTTACGTTCTAGTTCTATCATCAATATTTGCTGTGGAATATCAAAAAACAAAAAAATTACAACGGTGTTATACAAAACTACGTAATTGATAAAATTATGGATTTGTTGTTATTAAGAACATAAGCTTGATCAAACCTCCTCAGGTTATTACAATCACTCGAATTAATATCGAAGTGAACAACAATCAAGCTGATGTGTATAGTTACACAAACTGAGTAGCTTAGCGAGTTCCGTGACAAGAAATAAGTTGTCAAAGTGTCGAGCTAAAGTTCCTCTGTTAACAGCGTCTCCTCTTAGGTAAATCGTCGGTTTCACAACTCAATATTGCCCCGCGTCCCTGCGCCCTGAAATAATATCCCAGGACCGATATTCGAGCCACTCAACTGGGAATCTAAATGCAGTCTGCCAGCCATTATGTGCTTTGCTCCTCAGCCAAATGTAACATAAACGTCTTTTGTTTATGTTTGCTGCCATATCAGTACAGGATTTACATCTCGAAATTCAGTGTTTAATTCAATAAAACTACTCAATATTTTATGAGACGAAAGTATTGAATTATGTGGAAAAGTTTACCCATCATCTTTGCGATAATAATTTGAGAACCTAAGGAATACGCTTCTAAGTTTAACGTAAATGGGAGGGACGGCAATATTTCGTACAATTTTTTTGCTTTTAAATCTTCAGCGACAGTGTTCCCCATTCAGGGGAAGCACGAAACTTTTTAGGTCGACACCTTATCGTAACCGTAAATCAAGTGGACATCGGCAAAGGCCGAGATGTACCGGCGTCGGCCCGTGTCCCAAAAGTGATAACAGTTTAAGTTTCTGCGGTAAACAACAATATTAAAAGAGCGACTAGTGTTTTTTTATATTATTGAGCTAATTTCGAATAATTATAAAACCAACATATAAATTAAAATAGAGAGAAAATAAATAATTACTAAAATAGACAAAAAGAATAGAACAACATATTGTACGAGTAATTGATAAGAGTCGTGAGAAAATATTTAGTATAATATTAGTCGTATTGGACATGCTAGCAGTCATTATCCTTCACATGTCCAGCACCCTGAATCTTCAAGTCAAACTGTCAAATGTTGTTAGTTGGCTCGTCGCGGATATGCCCCAACTATAGCTGATGCTAGCAAAGTAAATCAATATTGAAAGTCAATGAATCAAGAGTAATATATTCGGGTACATAATAAATGTGCGCTACCTGAAGGCAATATCTGAAAAATTTGCCTGCTCGATATTGCTTACAAGGGAATTTCCTTTCTCCCTAAAATTTAATGCGTCGTTCGCATTTTTATAAAAAGAAGTAGGTAAGTGAAATAATTTGCGGTCGGTGCTTTATTTTCTTTTATTTATTTTAATGGCAGGTTTCCTTTCTTTTGTTTTTATGTGTAAAGCTTAAAGGAAATGAGGGCCGTTTGCC